TATGCAGAATTGTGTGAGTCAATTAAGCCTCTTTGCTTTATAAATTATCCAGTCTCAGGTATTTCTTCATATCAGCATAAGAACAGACTAATACAGGAGGTGATTAAGTCAGGAGGGTGGGGTCCTCATGATGGGATTAGCTTGCTTCTCTCTTTCTCTCTCTCCCACACTCCACCCTCTGAGAACATAATGAGAAGCCTCGAAGAGTCCCCTCCCCAAGCAATGACTCTGCCAGCACCTCAATTTTGGACTTTCCAGCCACCAGAACTGTGAGAAATCAATGTCTGTTTAAGCCACCCAGTCTACGGTGAGTGGCTATAGCAGCTGAACAAACGAAGACATTTACCTCTTTAGCTTTTTGCCTAATGTTTTCAGCAGCCAGTTAGGATTATAGCTTAAATTTGCTATTTCATTTGGGGTTGCAAAATATTGAAAGTTTTAAACACAGACATTCTTTGATTAGCTATTTGGTTATCCTGAAATACCATATATATGCAGGTCAAGATAAATATTCAACGCTTAGAATAAAAAGTTGGTGCCCTAACAACCTCCAACAGGGATTAATAAAGGCTTTTATAAACCATTATTGTGAACTCACAAATGTTCATAATATCTGATATGTTTTAATCCACCAGTCATTAGTCTAGTTTAACAGCTCCATCTTAATTGTCAGTGGGAGGCCCTTCAAGTTAGTCCCTCCGCCCTTTTGGGTCAGATTTAGGCTGGTGCCAATCCTGCACAGCAGGCAGGAGTTCAACCTGACAGGGGTGAGTGAATTCTCTGTGCAGATGCTCTATCCTAACCAGACCTTCATGCTGCAACCTTGAATTGACTCTAGCAGCCCAGACTATTCCATGCCCTATTCATTGCCTGATTTCTAGCTTTCCCAGAAATAATATGAACTACTTGACATCCTTCCAGTGAACTTTTTTGTATTTATACCAAGAATCCTGATGGATCTAAAAGAAAGTAGTAGAAATGGGGAGCCAGTTAACGTAAAATTGAGTGAAAAAGTAGTTCAGAAAGTAAGTGCAATATAATATAATTTATTAAATTAAAAACAAATAATATTTTGACAAAACAAAATATATAAATAATACAGCTATGTCTGCAAATAGATATAATGGACTGTAGGACATACATCAAAATCATGGGTTTGTCTCTTTTTCTTTTTTGAAAATTGAGTCTCACTCTGTCACCTAGGCTGGAGTGCAGTGGCACGATCTCAGCTCACTGCAAACTTCACCTTTTGGTTTCAAGCGATTCTCCTGCCTCAGCCTCTGGAGTAGTTTGGATTACAGACACCACCACGCCCAACTAATTTTTATACTTTAGTAGAGACAGGGTTTCACCACATTGGCCAGATTGGTCTTGGACTTCTGACCTCAAGTGATCTGCCCACCTCAGCCTCCCAAAGGGCTGGGATTACAGGTGTGAGCCACAGTGCCTGGCTGTGTTTATCTCTTGAATGCTGCGGTGGGGAATCAAATAAATCTAACTGCAGGTGAAAGTTAAAGAAGACCTTATCTATGGAAGGAGTTAAAAGCAGCTGGCTTATAATGCATTTACTCCCTTACTACAGGGCTGTCCTGGAGGAGGAAAAAAAAGGCAAGTGAATCTCCTTATCAACTGGATTTTGTGTAAATAGATGCATGATATTGGCTAGGAGGAAGAGAATGGAAAGATTGAATGCACTTAAGAAGATATCCCTGGCCAAAGGATTACTTATGGAAAATAAACCTGGAATCTAGGAGGCATGGTTTCAAAGCTATTCTCTGAGATAGAAAATGAAATCTATTAGATGACCTGAGACCTGTGTTAGAGACCTTATCTATAATTGTGTGGCAGAGGATGTATTTGTTTACTAAGGCTGCCACAATGAAATATCACAGACTGGTTGGCTTAAACAACAGAAGTTTAATTTATTGCAGTTCTGGAGGCTAAAAGTGCAAGACCAAGATGTTGGCCGCTTTGGTTTGTTCTGAAGTCTCTTTCCTTGGCTTGAAGACATGACGTGTCCTCACTTGATCTCACTGTGTCCTCACATGGTCACCCTAGGTCTGTGGTTATTTTGGTCCTAATCTCTCTTCTACGGATACCAGGATTGAATGAATATTAGTCATTCTGGATTAGGGCCTACCCATATGACTTCATTTTGGCCCTATCTCCAAATACAGTCACATTCTGAGGTACTAAGGGTTACGGCATTAAAATATACATTTTTATTGATTTATTATTTATACATAGTATTCGTACATATCTATGGAGTACATGTGATATTTTGATACATGAATACAATGTGTAATAATCAAATCAGGGATTTTAGGATATTCATCACCCAGAACATTTATCATTTCTTTGTGTTGGAAACATTTCAAATCTTCTCTTCTAGTTTTTTTTTTTTGATACAGGATCTCACTCTGTCTCCTAAGCTGGAGTGCGGTGGTGTGATTATAGATTATCGAAGTTTTAAACTCTTGGGCTCAAGTGATCCTCAGATCTCAGCCTCATGAGTAGGTAGGCCTATAGGTATGCGCCACATTCAGATAATTTTTCAAGTTTTTTGTAGAGATGGGGGTCTCACTATGTTGCCCAGGCTGGTTTCACACTTCTGGCCTTAAGTGATTCTGCTGCCTCAATCCTCCAAAGTGCTGGGATTACAGGTGTGAGCCACTGCATCTGGTCACTATTTTGAAATATACAATATACTGTTGTTAACCATAGTCATCCAGCTATGCTATCAAATACTATAACTTATTCCTTCTATCTAACTACCTGTTTATACCCATTAACCAACCTCTCTTCATCTCTGCCTCCTATAATTCTACTCTTTATCTTTATGAGATTAGATTTTAGCTCCCACATCTGAATGAGAATATGTGATATTTGTCTTTCTGTGTCTAGTTTATTTCACTTAACATAATGACCCCAAGTTCCATCCATGTTGCTGCAGATGACAGGATTTCGTCCTTTTTTTAATGATCAAACAGTATTTCATTGTGTATATGTGTACATTTTCTTTGTCCATTCATCCAGTAATGGACACTTAAGTTGATTTCATATACTGGCTACTGTAAATAATGCTTCAATAAACATGTGGGTACAGGTGTTCCTTCGACATACTAATTTCATTTCTTTGGGATATATGCCCAGTAGAGGAATTGCTGAATCATAGAGCAGTTCTATTTTTAGTTTTCTCACAAACCTCCATACCGTTTTCCATAATGGCTAAACTGATTTACATTCCCACCAACAGTGTGTATAAGTTCCTCTTCTCTGCATCTCTGCCAGCGTTTGTTATTTTTTTGTGTTTTTGATAGTAGCCAGTCTAACTAAAGTAAGATGATATCTCATTGTGGTTTCGATTTGCATTGCCCTGATGATTAGTGATGTTGAGCATTTTTTCATATACCTGTTGTCTATTTGTATGTCTTTTGAGAAAGGTCTGTTTATATCCTTTGCCCACTTTTTAATGAGATTATTTCAGTTTTTGCTGTTGGATTGAGTTTCTTGTATATTTTGCATATTAGTCCCTCGTTGGATGAATAATTTGCAAAATATTTTCTGATATTCAATAAGTTGTTTCTTTGTTCTGTTGTTTCCTTTGTTGTGCAGAAGCATTTTAGTTTAATATAGTCCCATTTGTCTATTTTTTTTGTTGCCTGTGCTTTTGAAGTCTTATTCATAAAGTCTGTGCCTAGGTCAATGTTCTGAAGTGTTTTATCTGTTTTCTTCTAGTAGTTTTATAGTTTCAGGTTGTATGTCTAAGTCTTTAATCCATTCTGAGTTGATGTTTGTATGTGGTGAGGGGTAGGGGTCTAGTTTCATTCTTCTGCATATAGATTTCCTGTTTTTCCAGCACTATTTATTGAATAGAATGTTCTTTCCTTAATGTATGTTCTTGGTGTTTTTGTTGATAATCAGTTGGCTGTAAATACATGGACTTATTTTGGGGTTCTTTAGTCTGTTCCATTGGTCTCTGTGTCTGTTTAATGCTAACAGTATGCTGTTTTGGTTACTGTACCTTTGCAGTATAATTTGAATTCTGGTAATGTGTTGCTTCCTGCTTTGTTCTTTTTGTTCAGTGTTGCTTTGGCTATTCAGGATCTTTTGTGAGTCTATACCAATTTTAGGATTTTTTTTTTCTATTTCTACAAAGGGAAAGCCACAGAGTCCTAAAATAATTCTAAAACTCATCATGACTTTCTTGCCTAATAGATCTGGATTACAACCGTGCCAAGTTTTACTTTTGATTTAATCACTTGGTTGAAAAATACATAAACACACAATAAAGATTACTGCAGGCATATCTCTGGCACCCGCTTCTGGTTCTATTCAAATTCCTAGAGATGTTAAGGATTATGTTAGGCCACCTGCACACAGGCTATACCTAGAAGAGAGAAAATGATTTGTAAAAGCAGTGGGACTGTGATATCACGTATTAGGTTGAAAACCTGAAATTGTAGCTATCTGTAGAAATGGCAGAAGACAAACTAACATTTTTAAAGCGCTCTCATTTAGCTCTGATGAGCATTACACCCATTAATGTTCTTCTAATTTTCCTAGTGTAGTCTGAACTTTTTAAAAAAGACGTGTCATCCAGAGTTTGTAACTCAAAATGAGTGCATTTAGGAGGGATTGCAAGTCGTTTCTGAATTAAACTACCGGTAGCTAGCAAGCTAAGCGGGGGCGGTGAAGACGACTACCAGCAGTCTAGGGAAGAAAATGCCTTTGCATTGTTTTTACGTGTTTACGTTATTTTATTTCCCAAGAGCAAGGCAGGAGTTAGGGGCTCAAATGATAAAACGGCTGGGGATCGCCATGGTGACAATAAAATCGTTCGGAGAGGACGGTAGTAGGCAGGAGTCCCCAAGGTCAGCCCCTGCAATTTAGGACTCAGAAATTTAGATTGCAGAAAAAGGAAAGTAAGCTAGAAAATTTGGCTAACCCGGGAGGCCGGGAGGGAAGCCACTAGGGCGCAGACTCTGTGGACTCGCGCAGGCGCACCAAAAAGGGGCGGACTGGATTGGGGGCGGGGCATCCGGGCCCGGCTAGGGCTGCCTGCAAGCTGCTGGGCCCGGGCAAAGGACTGCTCAGTTTCCTTTAGAGGGAGTAGGAAGTAAGTGCCATGGCACTGCAGGGCATCTCGGTCGTGGAGCTGGCCGGCCTGGCCCCGGGCCCGTTCTGTGGTATGGTCCTGGCGGACTTTGGGGCGCGGGTGATACGCGTGGACCGGCCCGGCTCCCGCTACGACCTGAGCGGCTTGGCCCGGGGCAAGCGCTCGCTGGCGCTGGACCTGAAGCAGCCCCGGGGAGTCGCGGTGCTGCGGCGTCTGTGCGCAAAGTCGGACGTGTTGTTGGAGCCCTTCCGCAGCGGTGAGCCCGGGTCCCGCGGGCTGCTCTCGGAAAGTTCCCACGGAGGGTAGGGGTCTGGCCGTTCCATCGAGGCTGCGCCCGCCACACCTTTGCCCTGTTGCCGCAGGAACCCTCGGCAGCTCCAACATTCTAGATGTTTTTGCTCCTAGGGTATTGTTGGTGATCATTCGTCCCTTGAGACGATGGTCCAAAACTTGGGTTCTGAGATACTGCTGTTGCCCGGTTTCTCCTTTTGCCTCTCTGATTCCTTCCCAGAATCCTCTTTTTTTTCTAATAAACATTCTGTATTTGCCATTCTTAATTTCTTGAGGGTCTTGAACCCTTTGAGAATCTAATAAAAGCTATAGGATTCCCTCCCTAGAAAACTGCGTATGGGCCCACAGTCATTCCTTATGTTTATGGAGTGCTGTACCCTGAAGCCATCCACAAACCCAGGCTAACTCTTCCTGCCTGGGAGAGGTTCGATTCTCAGCATCTGCTCCCTGGACCCCCCTTATTCATTCCCACCATTTTCACCTTTTATAGAGACTTCCACCTTTTCAGAGTCTCAGATGCTGGCATACATAGGTCCTGGGCATCGCTGTCAGGGCTCTCCACTAGGCATCGTCCACAAATCCCAAGCTGAGCCTTTCCTTCTTCCTTCTAAAACAGCATCTCCACCTTCTGTATTACTTGTTTCAGTGAGTGCCTGAATCTGAAACCTGTTCTTCATCATCGACTCCAGTCTTCCTTTCACCACATCCAATTTCAGTGATCACCAATACAGTCATTTTGCTACTTAACCCACTTGGACTATTTCCATACCTTCTGCAGCTGCCTTGACACTGGTGACAGGCTTTTAAAAACTGGTGTTTGGGGCTGGTATCACTCCAGTTCATTCTCAGACAGCTGCCAGAATAATTTTGTTTAAATAGAAATTCAAAGCATTGCCTTATCCATAACAGGAAATCGGTAAATGGTGAATGAATGAATGTCTACAGGACACCAGGCTTATTTAAATGTGTTAACTCATTTAACTCTGACAGCCGTATTTGAGGATTGTAACAATAATGATTAAGATTGTGTAATAATTTAAGAATGCTCCATTTAAGATGAGGGAGTCTGAGCATGGTTAACTAATTTGTCCATGGTCTTGTAATCAGGAGATCGGCTTGGAATATGGATATAGCCTCCAGGTGAGGCGTTGTGACTGGTGTTTATGATGATAACTAGAGTTTTTTTGTGATTTATTTTAGCTTTATTTGCAAGTACAATTAATAACATTTGCTGTAGGCTGATGGTATATTTCCAGCAGCTAAGGACCCAAAGAGTGACGCCACCATTACTGGAATGGTGAGTTTATTATCCCAGGAAACTTCAGGTGCTGTTACCGGGGGTTTGTGCAATATATATTATACTTGTTGATAGCTGAAAAGCTCTCAGGTACTGTTGTCACTCACCTCTCTTTCTACAGATGGTGAGCTTTTTTATGAAGGTAGAGATGCTAGGCACTTAAGCGCCTGTGGAAACAGATCAGGTGTGAATTCTGCAGGAGAAGCTCATGAGCTGATAGGGAAGATAAGTGTAGGTATGTATGAGCAAGTGCAGCTGAAGTGGGACGTGGCAAACACTGATGCAGTACAGAAAGAGAAAAGGGGTTTCCTAAAGTGATGAGACCCTGCTCTGGGGATTGAATAAATAGCCTTGGATAAACCTAGATGGAAACAGGGATGTGTCAGGAGAAATTACATCCTGGGAAGAAGCCACACATTCCAGAAATGGTGGCTTCACTCTTTGAGTCCTTAATTGCCGGAAACATACTGTCAGCCTACAGCAAATGTCATTAATATTACTTGCAGTAGTGCTATTTTGTGTTTGCCTCAGGGAAGAGATTATCCTCATTCTTAATTCATACTCTCTTAAGAAGATTGTTACTTTTCTCTTAAGGTGTCATGGAGAGACTCCAGCTCGGCCCAGAGATTCTGCAGCGGGAGAATCCAAGGCTTATTTATGCCAGGCTGAGTGGATTTGGCCAGTCGGGAAGCTTCTCTAGGTTAGCTGGCCATGATATCAACTATTTGGCTTTGTCAGGTATGTTAAAAAAAATTTAGTCTACACTTTTAGTTTATTTCATCAAGATCTATAGGTATGTTGATTAACAAGAATTTTTAAAGGTGAAGATTTAAATATTTATCAAAATCCAACAGGAGAGCATGGTTGTTTAAAATGGATTGGTTTGGGTCTTGAAACAATCATTCTCAACCTTCTCTCACCCCACCCCTTAACATGTTCGAAGGATGTGCTCACTACTATCATTTATTTACTATATTTGTTGAGTCAAGTCTCAGACAAGCTCCTGCTAGGAATTACGCGGCTTAATGGATACTAGGGATGGTTGCTCTGTAGTTTGAAATGTTGATATAGTTAGATTCTGACAGCTACTTCTCCCCATCAAATCTCTACCCACCACATTGAGAATCATTGCCTAAGTCATTGTTTCAGACTTCCATGAACAGTAGAAAAAGCCTGTGGTTTTCAGATCCTAACATCACTTTATTAGAGTTTTTTGCCTGAGAGACAGCATATAAGATTGGCCTGATTGCAGAATTCTAAGAACTGTGTGTTACTGACTAAAGGAAGTTTCAGATTTTCTGTGAGTATACATTTAAAGGTTGAGGAAAGAAGTGTGTATAGAATTGGCTTTTCACATCTGTTTTAAAATTAAATTCCGTTTTTTCTTGTGGACAAGTATTTTCTTTCATTTCTTTCTAATAAGAATGAAAGTGCATTTACTGTTTTAAAACCACAAAACAAATAATCATTTTCTTTTCCAAAAATGAGTGGGTAAAAGCTTAGCAATATTTTGAAAACGGTGGTTGGAATAGGTTTTAGAGAGAAAAAAAAAAACCAAACCAGGATCCTGTCTTGAAGGAAAGCCTGTTGGTAAGTTTGCTGACTAAGCTTAGATTTGGAAAAGTGTTGTATACTAGGTTTCACTTAGATTATCTACTGGAGAGATTATTGTTATTCCTCTAAGATGGTCACATATTTAAAGAAGAGATTAAATTTAAAAGAGACATTAAATTTGTTTTTAATGATATAGGTGTTCTCTCAAAAATTGGCAGAAGTGATGAGAATCCATATGCCCCGCTGAATCTCCTGGCTGACTTTGCTGGTGGTGGCCTTATGTGTGCGTTGGGCATTATAATGGCTCTCTTTGAACGCACACGCTCTGGCAAGGGTCAGGTCATTGATGCAAATATGGTAAGTATTAATTTGGGTAGATGCCTGCCGCTTGTGGCTAAGTGTGAGATATGGCTGCTTAAAATCCTTTTTTGAAGAAGACAAGAGATAAATGACATTTGAAGTTTCAATCCAAGTTACCAAGGATATCCTTTTCTTTTTAAAATAGCTTCATGTCCTTTATATATCTATTAGAATGTCATATTTTGATCATCTGTTCTTGGAGTCAATTTTCTAAACTTTTTGTGACTCATCTGATTCCTATGTTGTTTTAGTTTGGTGCAAGAGTAATTGCAGGTTTTGCCAAATCCACAATTACTTTTGTGTCAACCTAAATATTTCCGCAATTTTCCCCAAGTTATCTCTTGTGCTTAGCATATCATTTTCAAGCAGTTGTCTTTCAAAAAAAGTGCAAGAAGTCTCCCTTAGCAGGTAGAGAAAATTCTTAGGGATGCTAAGGTAAAATGGAGCTCCCTTTCTAAACCTACCTGCTGCGTTTTGTAGGGGATGCTCTGATATCATAATGTTTCTGTTTGTTTACTGTCATCCACTGAATGCTTGCCTCGTGTTCTGCTGAGCGCTTTCCCTGTGTGATTTCTTCTTCTTCTCAAAACTGCATGAGGAATACATTGTTGTTTTAAAGAGGAGGAAATGGAAGCATAGCCATTTGCTCAAGATCTCACAGCTAGTGGGTAAGAGAGCCCACTCTAGCACCACTCCATGTTTGCATTTTCACAGACATTTGGAGGTAGGATGGAGAATGGATTTGAGGAGACAAGACTGGAGGTAGAGGGACCAGTTACTGGATTATTGCTGAACACATCAGGGCAAGTACTACAGCAGTAAATGGTAGAGTTGGTTTGCATAGAAGGAACAGTTGAGATGTAAAATTGCTGGGAATTGATAATAGACTGACAGAGAGCAAAGAGGGAGAAGTCAAGGCTGGCTCCCAGGTTTCTGGCTTGGATGACCTGCTAGTGTCCTGAGGAAAGACTGCTGAAGGATGAGGCAGCCTGGAGCAGTGGCCAGATCATAGAGTGGCAGCCGATTGCCTCCATCCCAGCTTTGCCATTTACCAGCTTTGGGCATTTTACTTAACTTTGGGCAAGTTACTTAACCTGCCTGTGCTATAGTTTCCTTTGTGAAATAGAGATAAGAATGACATCCACCTCACAGCATTGTTAGATGCTGTGAGAATTCAGTGAGTTCTGCATTGTTCAGTGTGGGAACAGTGCCTGGTGTACAGTGAGCCTTCTGTAAAAGTTTGTCATTGTAGTTATTTTTACTAAAAGAAAAGGAATTCAGTTTTGGTCATTTCCATTTTGAACTGCCTTTCAGATATCCAGGTGGGATACTTGAGGTTAGCAGAGAAACAGAAGGGAGTGTTGTCATGGAAACCAAAGAAAGGAATGGTCAGAAGGTCAAATGTTGGTGGAACCTCAAGAATTTAGAGACTGAGAATGTCAACTGGATTGGGTCCTTGATGATCTTGCAAAATGCAAAATGCATTTTCTACCAGAAACCCCTCATCTCCAAAGCTTCAGCCTATGCTTCCTTCTCTTCATGGTAAATCATGACCAGCCCTGTACTGAGTGTGTATCTGAGGGACACTGTCATCAGGGCACATCTGACACTTTGCTGTGTGCCCTCTCTGAAGTATGTAGCAGTGGCAGTATCTTTTATGGTCGGCTCCTGGCGTAGTCATGGCACAGTTGCAGCATGAGCTAGCAGCTCTGGCTTTATACCACTGCCTGCCAAACTCAAAGCCAGTACGTTCCACAGGCCTTCCCTCCTTTGATCCATTCAACTTCCTGAGGGAGACCTGCTACTGTCATTAGCATTGAAGACTTAAGGGCTTGGAGAAGTTAACTGCCTTCCTCTAAAGCAGGTGATGGGAAAGAGTCCAAAGCACTGCCCCAGGCAGTTGAATCCTAAAGCCACTGCTTTCAACAACTTCCCTCTGCTCCCCTATGGGCACAGTCCATGGAGTCCAAAAGGAATGAACTAAGGAGCAAACATGGGGCCTTGGAAGTGTTAAGGAGAATATAAGGCTAGATGCTTCTCTAGCAATAATTTGAATAATTTACTGAGGACATGCAGTTGATTATCATTGAGTATTAAAAAAAAGGTGATTGCTTTTTTCAGCAGAATGTAGCTAATCAGAATTACATAATGATTAGAAGATCGTAAGGTTGCCTGGGCATGGTAGCTCACGCCTGTAATCCCAGCACTTTAGGAGGCTGAGGTGAGTGGATCACCTGAGGTCAAGAGTTCAAGACCAGCCTGAGCAACATAATGAAACCCCATTTCTACTAAAATACAAACAGTTAGCTGGGTGTGGTGGTGGGCATCTGTAGTCCCAGCTGCCCAGGAGGCTGTGGCACGAGAATTGCTTGAAACTGGGAGGCCGAGGTTGCAGTGAGCCAAGATCACACCACTGCACTCCAGCCTGGGTGAGAGAGCGTGACCCTGTCTCAAAAAAATAAAAATAAAAAATAAAATAAGATAGTAAGGTTTTAGTGTATGTGAAATGTTGTAATCTTTCTTCTGGGTTTATATTTCCATTAGGGGATAGTAAGTGTTTGCTAATTACTCAAGGCTAAAAAGGATCAGTAAATCATAGTCATTACTTCATCACTAAGAACTCTTGTAACACAAGCAATTGTGGAAGCTGATTAAGGGGAGGCAGATCCCTTCTAATGGATCAGGAGTTTTCACTTTTTTTTAGCAGCGTAATTCCAGACCTGGGCTTGCCTGTGAAGACCTGGAGTCTATCTTTTTGTAGTGCTGTTTCCTTGGAAACTGTAGTTAAGATAGCTGCGGGATGTGGAGTGCATTTTGCTGTATTTACACTCAATCTGGGCCCACATGATGAGAACAGTGTTAAATGAAGTGTAGCCTAAAGCTGTCCCCTTAAGTATTTTAAGTTTGACCTAAAGTTTTCTCTTACATCGTGAACTATGATCTCAGGTTGTGTAAACAGAATGTAACCTCTTGTAACAAGCTGCAAGTCTCAGCCAATCACAGCAGCCATACTTCAGCCCATCACAGGTGGCCAGCTGTTCAAACTGTTCAAACAAGGCAAAGGCCCAGGTGTAACCAATTCGGCTGTTTCTGTACCTCACTTCTGTTTCCTGTATATCACTTTTCGTTTTCTGTCCATGAGTCCACACGACTACACTAGAGTCACTCTGAACCTAGTCTGGTTCCACAGATTGCCCAATTCATGAGTCATTCTTTGCTCTGTTAAACTATTAAATCAATTTGTCTAAAGTCTTTCTTTTAACAATATCAAAGGTTGGTGGTGAATTGAGGCTGTGGTTTCCCGGTGTCAGGGGGCTCTCTGTGGCATGCATGGTATGTGAGTCCTGGGGCAAGAGAAGCCATGTGCCAGGGTAGCCACTGCCAGGCCTTGCGATGAGATCGGGAGGCTTCCTACTGTATTTCTTGTCCTGTCCCCTCTTCTAATCCTGAGGATTAGACCAGAACGTGTTTTTGTCCTGAGTAAGCCCAACTGTACCTGTAACTCTGACTCTGTTAGTGCATCTATTTTTCAGCAATCTCATCAGGACGTTCAACATATAAAAGAGATTAAAGGGGTATTTTATTAGCATAAAATATTTTATATTTACATATTCAGTATTTATGTTTTGTCAGTCCAATGAAACTGTTCTAAACATAAGCACTGGAAGTTAGAGCTTATGGGTGATCGTCTCATGACCTTCAATATTCAGTTTAATACTGCATTTCGTTTCGACTGGATGTTAGGAAAATCCTGAGTTACAGAGATAAGTTAGAAATGCCTATAATTTTACACAAAAATTAGGTGGGCATGGTAGGCGCCTATAATCCCAGCTACTCAGGAGTCTGAGGCAGGAGAATCACTTGAACCCAGGAGGTGGAGGTTGCAGAGAGCCAAGATTGCGTCACTGCACTCCAACCTGGGCAACAGAACAACGCTCCATCTCAAAAAACAAAACAACAACAACAAAAACCTATAGTTTTCAAATAGCTTGCTTAAATTCCAGATTGCATTTCATTTATGATAAAGCAGAAACGTTTTGTTTCAAGGTTGACTCACTATGGTATCTAAAAACTTCTCACATTCTTTGGCCTGAACGTAAAAGTCAGACAAATAATATTCAGAACTCTCTGCTAAAACTCTCTCTTGCACCGTATGACAAGCCAGCTTGCTTCCAGCTCATCTGTTACTGCTCTGTTGATTGGGGGTAGGCTCAGAGAAGCAAAGCTTGAGCGGAAAGCAGGCACTTGCTTATTGTTCATTATTGTTTATTTATTATTCCTTGTCAAAGTTGTTGGTTTTGTATGAGCAAGGAGAAATTAAGAGGGGAGGAGACCCATGCAGAACAAAAGTTTTTCTTAATAGTGTTCCAAATACAAGGTAAAATTTAGGCAAAGTTGGAAGGAAAAGCTTTGTTTTAAAGTCTAACAACAAATGTTAATGAGTTAAGGCCCTGATGTGTCAGAATTTGGTATAGGATACATTTAAATATGTGATTAAATAACATAAACATAAAATATATTCAAAATAGTGCACAATATATATGCATATGTGTATATATGTGTATATGTGTATAAATATGGAACTCTAATATCTGTGTAACCCAGTCTCAAGAGCACTGCCATAGGCCACTTATATGAACTCAGCTATTTGGTGATAATAAATGTCACAGCCATAAATTCAGATGTGCATGAAATTTCAAGTTGAAAGGGAAAATTGGATATAGCCAAAGATACATTGTATGGTTGTTTCACAGCCAGTAACTGAGAAATTGTTAGAAGTTGGAACAAGACCTCCTCTATCTGTAACTATTGAGGCAAGGATGCTTGAGGGCCTTTTCCCTGGGGGACTGGAGACATTAGGCTTATAAAAGGTGTAAAGATCAGAACATAATCTTCTTAAGGTAGACCAATGTTTCCAGCATTTGAGTTTGAGCCTTGTCATACTTATTCTTGATTGCATGATGACTTCAGGACAGTGGGAAGTGGCATTTCCAAACTAGTTTGCCTGGACTCAGAAAATGCATATACCTGCCATCCATATTATTAGTTTATTTTATAACTTTCTAGTGATTATTAAAGATAACATATATATTATACTAAAATACAGTTTTCTTAGGATTGGTATCAAGCTAGAGTATGTCAAATTTTACTGTTGTGTGATTTACCTTTAAAACGTAGTATGGTTTGTGTATCTATGTGTGTTTATAGGTATGGAGATCAGAAGATGGATTTTTAAAAGCTCTTTTTCTTTATTTTTAACTTTTTATCTTGGTAGTTTTTAACATATGTAGAAAGTAGAATGGTACAGTGACCTTCCATGTACCCTCACCTAGCTTAAAAAATCGCCAGCATTTTGCTAATCTTATTTGAAATGGAGAACAAAAGTTATTCCTTCTAAGTCTTACAGTATTTTCAGAATTGAATAGTGCAGCCAATTGTTATTCTAACATAAACCTGCTCTACTTCACTTTCTGGAAATAGCAAAGAAGTCTTGCATAATTGGGTAGAATCTTCCTACATGCTAAGATAAGCATTTTTATACAAATTTTAAACTTCAATAGGAGGAATGAATCATGCTTTGACACTTGAATTATCTGGATTTGTTTCATATTCACTTTTCTCAAAGGTGGAAGGAACAGCATATTTAAGTTCTTTTCTGTGGAAAACTCAGAAATTGAATCTGTGGAAAGCACCTCGAGGGCAGAACATGTTGGATGGTGGAGCACCTTTCTATACAACTTACAGGACAGCAGATGGGGAGTTCATGGCCGTGGGAGCAATAGAACCCCAGTTCTATGAGCTGCTGATCAAAGGCAAGTCACCTTCACATGTCTCCCCCAACTCCCCTTTTGCTGTGGATGTTCTTTAGTTCTTTTTTAAAGACTTTTGGAATCTATGATGCTTTTTTCTGAGGCACTGTGTGCCTGAACTTCTTGCTTGTGAAGAGCCTTAAGGTCAGCCAGAGGTGCGAGAGGAGGGCTTTTTCAGATCTCTCCCAGGCATTCACACTGCCCTGCACGTGTGCATGTGTGTGGCCTTCTCAGGAGTTGTAAAAAATTTCTTGTCAAATGCTACCCATTGGGGATGTCCCATTCCCCAGTTTTTTCTTTTAGGTTTCTTGGTTTCCATCTCATTAGCTGCAATAGGTAACACCACCTTAGACAGCTCACAGCACCTTCAATAAAACAGATAAAATACTGCCATTCTTTTTTAAATCAACATTTTAGGGGTAGAGCAAAGTGAGCTCTGAGTCAGATCACAGAAAGACAAACCCTGGAAATGGAGCCTTTCAGGAAGCTGCCAGACAGGCTAAACAATGTCATTTCTCTGGGGATGAGGTTTTTAGAGGAAGCTCCAAACTCATTTTCCTCCTCTCGGGGCTATTCTCCTGCTGGTTTTCAGAATTAACCAGAGTTGAAAGGTAGCTGGTTTTCAAGGCTACCACAGGGAGAAGGATGAAATTAGCACAAATTCTAACACCACAAATCTCACTGGTCTTACTGAGATTCGGCTGTTTTTCTTGAATAAATGCTCCTTGGAATGCTGCAAGCTTTTAATTTCCAGAATTATGAAAAAGTTGATTCTGACAGTTGTTGCTAGGGTTCTCATTGCTTTAATGCAGGTTTTTGAAGGTTCTCATTCTGCCATTCTGGCAGTTAACTCCCTTCCTTGGTGTATCCTGTTATTTTAAAACATGTACCATAGTCCTCTCTTATCTGTGGGAGATGTATTGTAAGAGCCCCAGTGGATGCCTGAAACTGCAGGTAGTACTAAACCTGACTGCTGTCAATTGGAAGATGTTTCTGTTTATGTCTTCCACCCGCAAATTTAATGCAATTTTCCATCTTAAGCACTTACCATGCACTTTGGCTATAACTTTTCAGTTTGAGTAGTGACAGCAAAACTAGCATGAATTTCTTTCTGCTTCTCCCCTTCTTCACAGTCACGTGAATATAAGATTCATTCTTAACCATAGATTTTAGCAACCTCAGCATGCAAGTTTTCTTCTTGCCTTAGGCTGAGAACTTGCACCTTTTCATGTAAGGGAAGCACTTTAGACTTCTCTTTGGCACGTCCACATTGCCAGCATCACTTCTGCCTGCAACCTTTGTGGCCTTTAGGAAGTAAAATAAGGGTTACTTGAACACAAGCCCTGCAATACTGCGCAGTCAGCCTGATGACTAAGTTGGCTGCTAAGTGACTAATGGGTGGGTCGCGCCCGCAGTGTGGATAGGATGGACAAAGGGATGATTCATGTCCAGGGCAGGATGGAGCAGGATGCTGCAAGTTTTTATCATGCTACTCAGAACAGCATTTAAATTTATGAATTGTTTATTTCTGGAATTTTTCATTCAATATTTTCGGACCATGGTTGACTGTGGCTAACTGAAACCATAGAAAACAAAACCTGAGAGGAAGAAGGACTGCCGCATGTGTGGAGTGCTTGTGTTCCACATCCACATTTCACCTCAATGAATGAACCTTTCTGGAAACACTGAAGATGAAACAAGATATTTTTCTAGCAGGGTCATTGCTCCAACCCCTTATCTCCTGATCACCTTCTTCTAGGTATTCTTCTGATGAGTTTAAACTTTGTAACTCCCCTGATTTTTTATAGACCCCTCTTTTTGCATCCACAGCCTTTTATAGTATCCTTAACCCCCATCTCCCTTCAAAGTTTACCTAGGATCCTTAGCTGACAGATGGCTAGAGGAGATAGCATGTTAAATCACCTTTCACTTACTCTACTCTACCTAGTCCGTGCCAAAATTCCTCAGCATTAACTTTCTTTTGTAATATTTATTTACAAAAATAGTACTTTTACTAATCACATATACATTTCTTCTCTCTCAAGTTCTACTGGACAAACCCCCATATCTATAATAATTTTTTGAGGGCCAGGTGCAATGGCTATGCCTGTAATCCCAACACTTTGGGAGGCTGAGGCAGGTGGATCACTTGAGGTCAGGAGTTCAAGACCAGCCTGAAACATGGTGAAACCCCATCTCTACTAAAAATGCAAATATTAGCCAGGTATGGTGGCGTGTGTTTGTAGTCCCAGCTGGTCAGGAGGCTGAGGCACGAGAATCACTTGAACCTGGGAGGCAGAGGTTGCAGTGTACTGAGATCACATTATTACCCTCCAGCCTGGGTGACAGAGAGAGCTTCTGTCTCAAAACAAACAAACAAAAACAAATAATATTAATAATTTTTCGAGAGAGTACTAATTACATACCTAATTTACTCCCCCTTGTATTTTAGATTTTTGAGACAATACTTTAATCTAGATCTTCAGTTTCTAAACATAAGTTTGCAAAGTCTTTTTAAGGTGCATGCTCTGCTGTGTCCTTGCCATTTTCTAGGACAAAAAAAAGTCTGAAAACACTGACAATTTTATGACATTTTAAAATAGCAAGTCTCTTATAGTACAATCAGGTAAGCAATAGATAATTTCCAAAAGCTGTTTATCAATAGATAATTTTCAAAAGCTGGGTGACCTCTGTCACCCAGGCTGGAGTGCAGTGTTGTGATCTCAGCTCACTGCAACCTCTGCTTCTGGGTTTAAGTGATTCTCCTGCCTCAGCCTCCTGAGTAGCTGAGATTACAGGTGCCCACCACCATACCTGGCTAATTTTTGTATTTTTAGTAGAGATGGAGTTTTACCATGTTGACCAGGCTGGTCTCAAACTCCTGACCTCAAGTGATCTGCCTGCCTTGACCTCCCATAGTGCTGGGATTATATTTTACCACAATTTTAAAAAATGAAATAAAAATTTAAAATTATATGTTTGCTAGAAAAAAAATAAGCAATTCAGATTTAAAAAAGTAAGAATGCAGATTTTCCTTTGTTCTTCTACTTTAGGAAAATTTGGGATGTGGCCTTCAAGAATTTTTACTGTACACATACAAACACACAATTATTCTATTTTATTTTATTTTTTGAGACAGGGTCTTTCTTGCTATGTTGCCCAGGTTTGAGTGCAGTGGCACAAACATGTCTCACTGCAGTCTTGACCTCCTGGGCTTAAGCAGTCCTCCTCCTCAGCCTCCCGTGTAGCTAAGTGCCACCACGCATGTGCTACCATGCCTGGGTAACTTTTTGATTTTTTGTAGAGACAGGGTCTTACTCTGTTGCCCAGGCTGGTCTTGAACTCCTGGGCTCAAGTGATCCTCCTGCCTCAGCCTCTTGAAGTGCTGGGATTACAGGCGTGAGCCACTACACTCAGCAATTATTTTCTATTTTACAATGTTATATATATATATATATATATATAATTTATAGCTCTTTGTTTGTTTGTTTGTTTGAGATGCAATCTCATCCTGTTCCCAGGCTGGAGTGCAATGTGATCTTGGCTCACTGCAACCTTACCTCTGCCTCCTGGGTTTTCAAAAGCTGGATGACCTCTGTCACCCAGGCATGGTTCTCCTGCCTCAGCTTCCCGAGTAGCCGGGATTACAGGCACCCGCTACCATGCCCAGCTAATTTTTGTATTTTTAGTAGAGACAAGGTTTCACCATCTTGGCCAAGCTGGTCTCAAACCCCTGACCTCATGATTTGTCTGCCTTGGCCTCCCAAAGTGCTGGGATTATAAGCATGAGCCACCATGCCCGGCCTATAGCTATTTTTATATGACAATATAGCGAAGACATTCTTTCATGTCAGTCCAAAAGATCTTCACCCTCACCCCTTTTATATAGCAGTCATATCATGCATTTCATATAGCAGTCATATCCTGTAATAAACTTATATAACTAGTTCCCTATTGCAAGTTCCTTTACATTTTTTCCAATTTTTCATTATAAAAATAATGTTTACATTTGCCATCCTAGACATATATCATTGAATACTTAACATGAATTTTGACTGCTTACTATATACTTAATATTATAAAGCAGTAAAGTTTATGACATGTACTTAAAAGAATAAGCATTTTGTTTAATTACGTGTGTGTGTGTGTGTGTGTATGTGTATGGTAGTTTTTTTGAAATCAAAATATGCTTTCCCAAGTTTTAGATGGTGTCTGAGGCCCCAGTCCAGTTTCTGAAAAATCTCTTTAACTTAAAATACCAGAAATTTCATAGTGATTATACCATAACAACTAGCCACAATCTATCACTGTATTTATACAATTATGGATTCTGAGACTTGGGACTGGATTCCAAGTTCTATATTGGATTGTCAGGAGCATAGCAAACAGCTCACCTTAAACTACTGATGTTTAATCCTGTGGGCTTGGTCAGGGTCATGGACAGGATGGGAGATTATAGGCTGAGACAAGATGGTAGACAATGGCAGAATTGGGGTGTTAGAGTTAGGGTGGGATCTGGAGGCTTTTGATTTCTAGTATTTTTTAGCATACAAACTATGATCTGTATAATCTCAAGTATAATGTTAGAGATCATATTGGCCCCAGCTTTACTTAGTGTTATGATTCTGATCAATTCTGATAAAAAGAAACTGTTTTAAAAGCATGTGAAGATCACTGCTTTTGGCTTGCTGCTCATTTTATGTGCCTTTCAGTCACAGAGTTCAGGGCAATCAAGAAAGATCACCAAGTAAGTAAAAGACATCCTTGAAAGCATTTCTCTGTAGATTACAGTGATAACCTGAAATTATTGCCTCATATCCTTCCTGGTGTTGGAAGGGGACTGGTGGTTACAGAAGAATATGTACCTATTTTCTGGAAAATGTATATTCCACCGGAGGCTGTTTACACAAATCTGGAACTCTGTTAGTGCTTCTTATTTCCTCATAGCCCTCAAAACCCCGAAGAAGCTTCAGTAGTTATGTCTTCCTGCCTCATCTTTAGAGCAACTTATAATTAGCCTTGATCATGGTAGGGAAGTGAGGATTATTCATTTAACTTGGCTAAACTTACATATAGCGTTATGCATCATAGTTTACCAACTATTGTAAAGTGACCCTGCCCTTTGGGTATAATTTAATCAGCACTGGAGTTTGGGCATGTCTGCAGGGGTAAGCCCACATAATCGGTACAGAAAACACAGATGGGGTCAAAAGGTAGAGAGGCCACCTTTCCTGTTAAATTCCCAGGTGGCTGCTTTCATGTGCTCTGCACTGTCGTCTTGATGGGCCCTTGAAGCCCCTTTCATGCCAGAAAGTCTACATGCCTCACTGTAGCCTGACTGGCTGATAAGTTTCTGTCACGTTTGTTATAGGAACAGTTTGCGTGAGTCTTTGGTTACCTTACAAGTCCTTTATCCTGGTACAAAAAGCTAATTTTGGCTCTTTTTTTTTCTTTTGGAGGCAGAGTCTTGGTCCATGCTTGAGTGTAGTGGCACGATCTTGGCTCACTGCAACTCCACCTTCTGGATTCAAGCAATTCTCCTGCCTTAGCCTCCCGAGTAGCTGGGATTACAGGCAACTTCTGTCACGCCTGGCTAATTTTTATGTTTTTAGTAGAGATTGGGTTTCACCATGTTGGCCAGGCTGGTCTCAAACTCCACCCACCTTGGCCTCACAAAGTGCTGAGATTATAGGCATAAGCCACCATACCTGGCCCTTTTGGGTTCTTTCATTTTAAAAATATATGTATATATGTATGTATGTATGTATGTAAATGTATGTATGTATGTATGTAAAATGTATGTATGTATGTAAAAATATATGTATGTATGTAAAATGTATGTATGTATGTATGGTTGGATGGATGGATGATGGGTGGATGATGAGGGTCTTGCTGTGTTGCTCAGGCTGGGCTTTGAATTCCCGGGCTCAAGTAATCCTCCAGCCTCAGCCTCCCAAGTAGCTTGCACTATACTTATGTCACCACTCCTAGCCATTCCAGCTCTTTTCTTTTAACAAAATAAAGAGAAATGAATGTATTTATAAAATTGCAATCCTGAATTAAATAATTTGTCTTCAGGCTTCTTCCTTGGAAACTGAGATGGTCATATATAAAATTGTTTATATTGTATTTTTTAATAAAGTTTGAGTACGTTATAAAAAATATGGAGTTGTTTTAACTCAGTATGACTGTAATTACATCCTGGGGAAATTGTTTTTCAAAATCTACTAAGAGGTAGGAAATCAATTTCTGGAAACCAGACTATTGAACACTACTTTTGGCGAAACATGAATAACAAAATCTGGGTAGTGACAAGTCTGATGACCTCTGCCCTCTTCAGCCTTTTGCTCCAACCTCAAACTGACTTTGTATTTTTTTCTCTTGCCTCATTTGAGAAGCTCTTCTAGAACATCTTATTTTGCATAGTGCAGTGGGCCCAGCATTCATTTTCATTGATTATAATTGCTCTGTTCAAATCATAATAATTTTAGAAATTTTATTTTTCCTCAGGACTTGAGCTAAAGCCTGATGAACTTCCCAATCAGATGAGCATGAATGATTGGCCAGAAATGAAGAAGAAGTTTGCAGATGTATTTGCAAAGAAGACAAAGGCAGAGTGGTGTCAAATCTTTGATGGCACAAATGCCTGTGTGACTCCAGTTCTGACTTTTGAGGAGGTTGTCAGTCATGATCACAACAAGGAACGGGGCTCGTTTATCACCAGTGAGGAGCGGGACGTGAGCCCCCGCCCTGCACCTCTGCTGTCAGACACTCCAGCTGTCCCTTCTTTCAAAAGGGATCCTTTTGTAGGAGAACACACTGAGGAGATACTTAAAGAATTTGGATTCAGCCTCAAAGAGATTGATCAGCTCACCTCGGATAAAATCATTGAAAGTCATAAGGTAAAAGCTGGTCTTTAACTTCCAGGCTCACAGCTCAAGTGAGTTTGAATACTGCATTTGCAGTGTAGCATAACACATAACATTGTGTGCATGGAAATGGGGAGGGACAGTATTGCAGTGTCCTACCACTTTAATCACGAAAAAAACCACAGACTCTGATTCTGCAGTGATGATTGAATTCTGAAAATGGTTATCATTAGGGCTTTTGATTTAGAAAGCCTTTGGGTACTTCTACTAAATTATGATAGTTATTCCGCCTTCCAGTTTGCTTGATATATTTGTTGATATTAAGATACTTGTGTACTTATGTTTTGAATGAATTAATATAATATAATTTATTTAATAAAGCTTTCTTTTTCCCTAAAGTGTACTTGTGCTTTTAAGTTTGCACAAAGCTTTTAAGAAAACCCTTTGAATACCATTTAAATCACATTTTGTGATTCCTTGAAATCTTTTTTGCTTGTTTACCAGAGTGAATGTTTTTAGATGACGAAGTCTGACCATTTTAATTTGACTGGAAATAACTCAGTATGTGTCTTCGAATGGCAATGTTGGCAGATGTTCTCCAGGCTTCCGGCAGATAACTCCCACCCCTCCCTCTAGTCCTCTGCTGGGAGCCAGGCTTCTCTGTGCAGCTGCCAGTTAGTCTCTCTGACATGCCTCTTTTTCTCACATTGTGCCATTGTTTGAGTTCTGCCAGGCAGGTCTTCCTCTCTCACCAGTCTCCTGCTTCCATTCCCACCATTGCCTCCCTCCGCCCTCATAGGCCCTGAGCTTATCCTCACTTCACTGAGGCCACTGCCCAGTTCCCCTGCTGCGGAGAGTCCTTTCCTAGCCTCTGTCTAAAGCAGCAGCCACCTCATCACTTGCTATCCCTTCACCCCATCTTGTTTTCCTTTGTACCATATATCACTCCTGACATATTTGCTTGTTAACCCCTCCTGCCCCACTAGCCCACCAACACACACTAGAATGGAAGCTTTGTGAGGGATTTTGTATGTTTCATTCATTGTAAAAGCCCTAGTTGCTAGAATAGTGCCAAGCAAATAGCAGAAACTTAGTAAATATTTATTAAACGAATATATCTCAAGAGTGAAGTGCTGTCAGTTCTACCTCAACAGTACTTGAATCCATGCCCTTTGCCTATCCCCATTGCAGTTTTCATTCAGGCCCCTCTTATCTCTTCCCAAGACTCCAGTTCAGTTACCCTATTAGCCTTGACCTCTGGAATCATTGCCTTATTAATATTTGTTATCATGTTACTCTTCTGGGTGTTTTTGACACCACACTGAATTTTCAGTCCTGCAAAAATCTTTTGTTGTTCTTTTCTCCTACAGTAGAATATAAACTCATTTACATAGCATATCAACTCTTTACTTACAATAAGACTTCTAGCTAGCTGTCCAGTCGCATCCCTGTCCTCCTGTTCCCCAGGACTTACATTGGACTACCTGAAATTTCTAACTATGTCATGGTCTCTCTTGTTTCCATTTCTTTGTATATACTGCATCATTATTTTCCAGGATTATCAAGACCCCTTTTGCTCTAGCCATTTGATTTAGCAAACTCAGACTGGGCTGGAACACAGCCTTCTTTGTGGAACCTCCTGTGCTTCTCAACCCTAGAGTAGTTTTGTACAGTGATTATGAGTTGTGGAGTCAGAAGGGCCTTGGGTTCACATCTCACTCTGTCATTGTGATGTCTAAGACAATGCCTGTGAAGGGCCTAAACATCCAAGGTGAACAGTATTAGCTCCTATTCCTAAGCCCCTTCCTACGTTTCCACTGTACTTCATACACATCTACAAGGACAGTAATTGCCTTTACTATACTTTACAAAATGATTCACTAGGACATACGTTCCCAGAGTAATGGTTCCAGCAGGCAAAATAATTATTTGGAGATACTGTTAAAACAGATTCCTGAGCCCCAGCCCCAGAGACTCTAAGACCCAGGATGTGCATTTCCACCAAGCTTCCAGGTGATTCTGATTCTGATTCAATGACTGCACTTTGAGTAGCACTGTCTTAAGGGATAGGAACCAAATCTTTTTACCTTGGTTACTGTTATAATAGGTGCTCAAAAAAATACCTGTTGAATGGACCAGCGAGAGAAAGAATAAAAGCAAGTTGGCAAAATCTGTAAATAAACAGGCTAGCTTACAGTGTTGATTTCTGTAATTAGTTGACTTTACACAAAATGTTCAAATGAAAAATTGTTTTTTGTAGGTTGTGAACTTTTAAAGAGTGGATATATAGAAGCAAGATTAGTAGCTTTTGTTAGCGACCCATACTTTCCTTTTTTTCTGAAGAGTCTAAGACCCTGTGCAAAAAATGTTACACCTCTGTTTTATCAATTAGCTTTTGACAAACTGTAGATTTAGAAATAAGTAAGGGGGACAGGTAAGGAGAAAATAGAAAAAAAATTTTTGTTTTTGATTTTTTTGAGACAGAGTCTCATCCTGTCACTCAGGCTAGAATGCAGTGGCACGATCTTGGCTCACTGCAACCTCTGCCTCCCGCATTCAAGTGATTCTCCTGCCTCAGCTTCCCAAGTAACTGGGACTACAGATGCCTGCCGCCACACCTGGCTATTTTTTGTATTTTTAGTAGAGACAGGGTTTCACTGTGTTAGCCAGGATGGCCTCCATCTCCTGACCTCATTATCTGTCCACCTCGGCCTCCCAAAGTGCTGGGATTACAGGCGTGAGCCACCGTGCCTGGCTGAAAATAGGAAGTTTTAAGGAGAGTCGAAGATAAGCAGGCAATTGAAGGTAGCAAATTCTAGTGAAAGAGGAATTATATATTCTTGAAGACATTGATATACATTTATTTACACTCTTGATTCTACAATGTAGGAAGTGTGAAATGCCACAAACTATGGTGGTAAATAAGTCACATGAAACAGGGTGATTGGTTGCATCCAGGCTTTTTGTCTTGGAGTTTATGTTCTCCCTCTAAGCACATTCCAAACTAGCAACGATTTCATCACACTTTGTAATTTACAGAATACTTTCACCTGTATCAAACCAGAATGGCTTCAACTGCAAATAACAATATCCAAATAATAAGGAAATGTTTTGGCTCACTCCCTAGAGTCCAGAGGGACGGTGACTTTTAGGGTTGCCTGTATCCAGTCACTTGAGCTCTGTTTCCCTGCAGTTCTCTGGTCTGTCAACTTTCCATTCTCTGTGTGTTTGATTTCTCCTCAGGCTCATAGCAAGTTCGAATCTTAATGCCCACACAGAGCAACGTCCAGACATAAAGATCTCAGGAGCCCCCAGCAAATTGTCTTGTGTCTCCTTGGACTGAGTTAAGTTACAAGCCATTCTTAAATCAGTCTTTGACAAAGAAGACAGGATTATCTTTACATAAAACCAGTCTGCTCCTGGAGCTTTCCTGGACTCAACTTCCCAAAGGCATGTGAGGAAGGGGTGGATTCCACAATCTAATTCAGGTGCCATCAGAGCATAGGGAGTAGAAAATGGATGTTGGGTGGGCCATCAATAAGGTCCATCATGTACAGTATGTCAACTGTCCTTCAACAATCAACTGTAAGGGGAAGGTGGAGCAGGTTTCTTCATTTTACTGATAAGAAAACGGAGACTCAGAGGGGATTCTTAGTTTATTTTTCCCTTAGTGCCTCAGTAATTTTTTCATGGTGGCTTAAACGAAAAGAAATATCTAACCATTCAATTTATAAATAATTAGGTCCCAACAAATTAAATATTTATGTCCTAACAACTTAGTAGCTGTTTGAAAAATAGAATACACATAAAGAAAATGTATTTTTCATTTCTATTTTATTGTTAATCACAACTACTTACTAAGAAGATGTATGCATCTGTTGCACACTGTGCAACTTCTCAGCTGGAATCAGATTGGACACTGCTGTCGTCATTTTCTGCTCCATGTTGATGTCCATATAGTACTTGCTTTTTTATCAGACTGACTGGAAAACCCAGTCTCACAAAAATATGAAATCCTGAGAAGGATTATAGTGCAATCTTATGTTGAAAGCATGAACTACCTTACTAGTAGTTCATGTGATGTCTGACAGATGTTGACTTTCAATGCGTTTACTGTGTTCAAATTTTTAAATATCCTGAAATACTCTTGTGAGGTCACTCTAATGCCTTGGGTGCCTTGGCATAGTTTTAGAAACACTAGTTGAAATTATTTGCTCATGAATATGCAACTGGGAAGAGGCAGAATCAGAATTTAAGCTTTCGTATTATGGCCTTCAGTTTTGCTCTTCCGCCATTTTTAGGAACTTTCCCAAAAGGTTATGTTTTCCAGCCCAGGCATGAGGATCACTTGAGGCCAAAAGTTCAAGATCAGCCTGGGGAACACAGCTGGACGTCTGTTTCTACAAAAAATAAAAGTAAAAAAAATTAGCAAGGCATGGTATTGTGTGCCTATAGTCCTAGCTATTCAGAAGTGTGGGGCAGGAGGATCACTTAAGCCCAGGAGTTTGAAGCCACAGTGAATTAGGATTGAGCCACTGTACTCTAGCCTGGGCAATAGAACAAGATCTTGTCTGTAAATAAATTTATATAAAAAAGGTTGTGTTTCCTACAACTCAGAGTCCTGCAAGGAAAATATGAATCATTTAAAGTCTTTAAAAACAGGAAATTTAATATAAAGAATTCCACTGGTGATGGAAGAGTAGAGAAACCCAGAAGATAGTGAGGCAACCCAGAGATGAACAAACTAGAAGCCAGGGCCACTCCTATGGCTTCAGGGGTGATGGGAAAGTTGGTGTCACCTGGATCCAAGTTGCCGGACCCACCTTGGAGACACAGACGCTGCCAGCAATCTCTCAGGGAGGAGAAAGAAATCTAGGGAAATATCCTGGCCTCTTTCCTTCTCTCTCACCCCTAGTCTTCTTACCAGTGCCTCCTATTAGCCAAATCTACCTAGAAGCCAGAAAACAAGGGAACACTGGAAATGTAGCCCCATAAGATAAAGAGCACCAAAGGAAATTGAGCTGAGCAGACAGGCAGCTGACTAGCAGCACAAAATGTAGTGTATATGTTTTGTTCACTCAGTAATTCCTTTAGCAAATATTTATTGAAGACCTACTATGTGCCAGGTATCATGATAGTTGCTGGGGATACCATAATGAACAAAACGGACCTGCTCTCTGCTCTTAAATAAATCAAAGACAAACTCAGGATATGGAATAAACCTAGAATTATCTCATTGTAAAAATTATTAAGTGCAAGAAGGAAAAATATCAGGGCGATATGACACAGCTAATGATTCGGGGAAGGGTGTGACCTGCCACCATTTTAAATGTAGTTATTTCACCACTGAGCTGTGTTGTAGAAAACTTGTAGTCAGGAAAAGATAGAATGTCTATATCTATAAAAAGAAGTTTACTGAAAGGTATCAATTTATTTACATTTTGACATAACCTCTATATAATAAGGCTTTATTACCTCACAGCCATGTGTGTGTTCATGTGAAATAGCATGTGTGTATGAGAGAGAAGCCATGTGTGATCATGTGTAATAATGTGTGTGAAAGAGAAGCAATGTGTGTGATTATGTGTAACAGCATGTGTGTGAGAGAAGCCATGTGTGATCATGTGTAATAGCAAATATGTGAGAGAAACCATGTGTGAGCATGTGAAATAACATGTATGAGAGAAGCCATGTGTGTGATCATGTGTAATAACATGTGTGTGAGAGATGCCATGTGTGATCATGTGTAATTGTGTACGAGCAGTCATGCATGTAATCATGTGTAATATTGTGTATGAGAGAGAAGCTGTGTGTGATCATGTGAAATAATACGCATGTGAGAGAATCCATGTGTGATCATGTGTAATAGTGTGTGTGAAAGAGAAGCAATGTGTGCGATCATGTGTAATAGCGTGTATGTGAGAGAGAAACCATGTGTGTGATCATGTGTAATAACGTGTTTGTGAGAGAGGGAGAAAAGCCATGTGGGTGTGTGATCTCATGTAATTGTGTGTGTGTGAGAGAGAGAGAGAGACAGAGAGAAACAGTACAAAGGAAGACTTCTTTGAAAAAACATTCCAACTTTCTAAGGAGCCAGAGGGCTCACTCACAGCTACTAATCTCTGTCATGCTTTCCAGCACCACCCCCTCCCTCTCATCATAACTTGTGATCTTAGAGGCAGGAAGGAATTTGAGCCCCTCCCCCAGCCTGACCATCTCTGTTGTTGCTCGGCCAGACTCCACGTCAAATCCAGTTTGAAGCACAGACCCTAGCACCACGCAGGAGGTGTTCCTCTCCCAGTGGCCATGGGTGGCAACAGTGGGCAGGCCAGCCACCACATCTATAAATCCCTAGCTGATGATGGCCCCTTTGACCCTGTGGAACCTCCTAAAAGACCCACCAGCAGACTCATCATGCACAGCATGGCCATGTTTGGACGAGAGTTCTGTTACGCGGTGGAGGCAGCCTATGTGACCCCAGTCCTGCTCAGCGTGGGTCTGCCCAATAGTCTGTACAGCATCGTGTGGTTCCTCAGCCCCATCCTGGGATTCCTGCTGCAACCCGTGGTCGGATCGGCCAGCGACCACTGCCGGTCCAGGTGGGGCCGCCGGAGACCCTACATCCTCACCCTGGGAGTCATGATGCTCGTGGGCATGGCTCTGTACCTCAATGGGGATACCGTGGTAGCAGGTAAGTGGACTGCACAAGGTGGGGTGGGCAGGGATATGTGTCTTAGTGTGCACCTCTGCAGGAGAATGTTAATTTGTTTGACCTTTCATAGAAATTTGTTAGAATTGATCTCTCCTAGGTTACAATGAACTTCCACCTTTGATGAATTTGGCCCAGATTCTTTGGCTGAGGAGCCTCTACTTCTAGAAATATAAAAATAAATATCTTTCATTGTTGTGAAGATTTAAAAACAGGGTTAAATTTGTATCTATGTTATCAAATTGAATATTTTTACATATTTATCAATTGAGTTACTTTTTGAGCCCATTATGCTCTATTTAATACTTTATCAAATTGACCAGCTGCCAAATAGCTCCATAAATATTTACAGTAGATCACCTGTGCATCCAAATGAGTTAATTCTGTTCATAGTTCTGTGTAGGGCCTCTTCCTAGGCGTAGGGCATAAACCCACCAGCTCAAGGGGACATTTCTGGCATTGAAAATTCTGGACAAAAACAAACCTGAGGGTAGGCATTTTTTTCTAGCCATTAATCAGCTACCAATTAATCAGTAATTGATGGTTGTACAATAAAGTTGCATTGCAGAAAGGATCACAATAAACAGCACACATTTTTAGACCATTAACTCTCAAGCTAGCTGAATAGATGATTATGAGACAGGATAATCAATTATCATTTGTACATATTTCAAAGAAAGCATAAATGTACAAATGTAAGATATTTCTGGGAGAATGAGCAGAAAGCCGATAAGCTTTGTTGACTCTAAGGAGGATTACTGAAGGACTGGCGGTGAGAAGCTGCAGGTAGGCTTATTTTTCATTTAATTTTATACTGTAATTTTTAAAACGTATATATATATAATCTATGCTATTCTTAAGTTTAAAAACAAACTGAAACAGGAGAAACAACAATGTATCTTTTATAGGAGGTTGGGTGAATGAATTACAGGGTATCCATAGAATGAATATCTAGCTGTTAAAAATTGTGAGGAGATGAAATTATATGGTTACTGCATCAGGGCTTTCCAGTGCAGGTCAAGGTGTGGCTTCTGCCCCTGGCCCTCATGATCAGCAGAGGCTGTAAGAGATGCAGTTTCTCAGGCCCACTTCAGGTCCACGCATTGAATCAGAGTCTTGGAAAATGGGGCCGGTGATCTGTGTTTTAACAAGATGTACAAGCGATAGTTCAACATGCCAAATTTTGAGAAGCACTGCACTTGACTACCGTTGTACACCTGTGTCCATATGTGCAGAGGTGCGTAAAAGGAGGCCTCAAAGCATGACCTCTGGGGCTGAGATTGGAAGCATCTCCCTCAGCTTTTTCTATATCCCTAGAATTGTTTGCAATAAATATGCACACTTTTTTATTTAAAGAGATATTTTATATGCCAGAAACATCACTACTTAAAAGTGTACAATTCAGTGCCTTTTAGTATATTCACAGGGTTGTACAACCATTACCATTCTCTAATTCTAGAACATTTTCATCACCCCAAAGAGAAACCCATTACCATCAACAGTCACTTCCCCTTTTCTCCTATGCACCAGTCCTAGGCAACCACTAATTCACTTTCTGTCTCCATAGATTTGTGCTTTCTGGACATTCGCTTGCATAAGTTTTTAAAACCTGAAAAAATATGAAGCTATTTTATTTGGAACAAAAAGCAAAATAAAAGCAAGGGAGATGATTTTATGACAAGAGGTTTAGGTGGAAATTACAAAACACAGATGGATGATTCTAAAACAGGATTTAGGAGACCATTGTTTATTTTTCTTTTAGCTTTGATTGCTAACCCAAGGAGGAAGCTGGTTTGGGCCATAAGTGTCACCATGATAGGTGTGGTTCTCTTTGATTTTTCTGCTGACTTCATTGATGGGCCCATCAAAGCCTACTTATTTGATGTCTGCTGCCATCAGGACAAGGAGAAGGGCCTCCACTACCATGCCCTCTTCACAGGTAGGGAATATTCCAGAAAGTCTCTCCTTCATCTCCCCAGACAGTGAGGCGCTTCCACTAAAGCCATTTAGTGTCACTGCACGTGGCGTTTTTTGAATTAATGGAGCCCATCAGTTGATGGGCTGCTCTCGTCACGCGGGCCCCATCGCCCCGTGCATCTCTTTGAACAGTCAGCTTGTGACTAGTGCTGCAGTTTCTGCAGAGGAAGTTTACAGACGAGCTTCTTAAGAATGCTTTGTGGAGACAATTACAACTGAAATGAAAAGAAGCCTTGTGCGTTGTACTTTTGCTTTAGAGCAGTGGCTCTCAAACATCAGCAATGTAGCATCCACATTCTTTAGGAGGCCATTGAAAACACAGTTGTCTGGGCTCCTTCTCCAGTTATTCTGATTTGGTGGGTCTGAGGCAGAGCCCAGATGTTTGTATTTTGTTTAATAAAGACCCCAGATGATTTTGTGGCAGGTGTCCTAAGAAGCACATTTAAACAACAAAAAAAGAAACAAACTAAGCAAACAAAAAAACCCCACGGCTTAGGGATTTCTTTTTTTTGAGGCAGAGTTTTGCTCTTGTTACTCAGGCTGGAGTGCAATGGTGTGATCTCGGCTCACCGCAACCTCCACCTCCTGGGTTCAGGCAATTCTCCTGGCTTAGCTTTCTGAGTAGCTGGGATTACAGGCACACGCCACCATGCCCAGCTAATTTTTTGTATTTTTAGTAGAGACGGGGTTTCACCATGTTGACCAGGATGGTCTCGATCTCTTGACCTCGTGATCCACCTGCCTCGGCCTCCCAAAGCGCTGGGATTACATTGACCCACCGCACCTGGTGGGATTTCTTAGTTATATAAAGAGTTGGCATTTCCTCAACCTTGAAGTTTGGATAAGTTCATTCCAGGAGGAAAATGTGGCGCTCTTGATCTCTTGGGGCTGTTGCCAGCCCACTTTGGTTACTGTTGGTCAATTGTTTAGAGTAATGCTACTGAGAGCACCAGTTAGGACTGTGCTAGAACTGGGCATTCAAATTTAAGGCAACAGCAGGATCCTGGCCCAAGAGGACTTTTGTATCTTAGAGGGGGACTCTATCAGCCCACCTTATTTGATTGTCTTCATAGCCCAGCTAGTGCATTTACTTATATTTTGATGTATTCTGTCTCCTTCCATGGCCAGGTAGGTCCATGAGAAGCAAGATCTCAAGTTTTGCTCCTGACTGTGGAAGCCATTGGAGCCAATATTTGCCATTTGAGCAAACATTTGAACAATTGAAAATATGAAGGAGTGAGACAGTTGGAGCATAGCTGGTAGATCCTCCTCTGTGCAGGGAAGGCAGAGGGACAGGAGTGCAGCCCTGTCTGTCCCTGGCCCCTGCCCACTATGTCTCCAGATGTTTAAAGGTGCCTAAGACATGGCCAGGGCTTGAGACCTTCCCCCGCCTCACCTTTGCTCTTGGCTTTCCTTCCCACTGCACTTTCCACCGGTGTCTACTCACTCAGATGCTCCCACCCCACTGGCCTCCTTCTGTCTCTGGGGTTGGACCAGCCGATTATACCTGCCCCAGGGTTTGGCATGAGCTCTTGCCCTGCCTGGGGTACCCTTCCCCATATAATCCCATAGTCATGCCTTCATTTCACTAAGGTTTCTCATCAGATGTCTCTCATCAGTGAGGTCTGTCTTGGCTATCATATGTGACATAGTATGACCACTCCTTTTTCTCCTCATCCTTATCTGGTTTGATGTTTCTTTCTAGTACTTATCACTACCAGACTGACTGTCTCTTTATCTATCATCCATCTCTCTCTCTCTCTTTCTCTTTTTTTCTTTCTGGTTATCTCTCCCATTTAGAACATCAGTCCCAGTTGAGCAGACCTTCTGTTTTGTTCTCCGATGACTCTTCGCTTCCTGGAACAGTGTCTGCTACTTAGCAGGTGCTCAGTAAATACTGAACAAACATTTCTCAAATACCCCTCATGTATGCTAATAACCCTGTTTCATTTACATTATCTCAGTCTTGACAATGGCCACGTGGAAGTGGAGTGATTCCCATTTTTGAGATGTGGAAGCCAAGCTTTGGAAGCAGCGGAGTGCTAGAACTGGCTCATGCTGGCTTGCTGAGAATCAATTGTTAAGTTTCAGGAATTCAGTGGACTTGTTGACATCACATTTCTGGCTTGAAACTGGCTATGATGGGAGTTCTAAAACTCTAGAGATCGGCAAGCTATAAATCATGGATTTTTTTTTTTCCTTAGAGAGCCAGATGTTAAATATTTACCCGAAGTTCAATGATTGGAGTAGGGGAGGGTGTGCGCTGATGAAGTCGCTTGCCCATGGTCCATAGCCAGAAGGCCCCAGAATAGATTCCAACTTCATTTTCCTAACTTAAATCTGACAATTCCTTCTGTTTTATTATAATTTGCTGAAATTTATTATAAGGTCATGGGAGACTTTCTGGCTTTTGAACTCGATATTAAGAGTTTATTGATCTATAGGACATTGGACAATGTGGCCACCACTTCCCAGCTTACAGTGGGTATTAGATGTGGCCAAAAGACCTATGCTTTGTTGCCTTGATATTAGATGACAAATCTCTGCGTTAGCGAGTTTTCCAAGGGTAATACATGATAGTATTGCAAACCAGAAATATAATTCTAACCCCCAGCTAATTGAAGGGCCCTTCCTCTTGGCCAAGGGTATCCTAAAGTAAATCTGAAATACTAGTTTAGGCCATGATGGGAATGGGTGGTTGGACATGCCTCATTATACTTCTCTCCCTTTGGAATTCAAGCACAGTTGACCAGCATTAACATTAAGGCAGAGACCTTAAAACTGACAAAACAGACTCTTTGTAGCAATTAGGTGTCAACATGACAACATAGCAGGCCTTGAAAGAAATGGACGTATTTTACCCCAAAATATATTTCTTTGACATATGTTGAAATGGCCCTGAAAAGCTGTCTCTTGTGGGGAATATCCACATTCTGTACACTTCACTCTTCCCTTTCCAGGTTTTCTCCTGATTTTGGGTAGAATTAAGGAAAGTGTCTGGCACCTTTTTAAGTCTGATAAGAAACATTTACAATCTATTCTCTCTGAAGCTTGCTACATGGAGGCTTCATCTGCATAATAAGAACCTTGGTCTCCATAACCCCTTATTTTAACCCAGACCCTCTCTTCTATGGCTTCCAAGTCTAGAGATAAACTCTTTCAACAAATTGCCAATCAGGAAATCTTTGAATCTACCTATGACCTGGAAGCCCCTACTTCGATTTGTCCTGCCTTTTCAGACCAAACCAATGTGCATCTTACATGTGTTGATTGATGTCTGATGTCTTCCTAAAATGAATAAAACTAAGCTGTAGCCCTACCTCCTGGGGCACATGTTCTCAAGATCTCCTGGAGCTGCGTCACAGCCCATGGTCTTCATATTTGGCTCAGAATATATCTCTTCAAATATTTTGCAGTTTGACTCTTTTCACTGACAGTAATTCTATGTGTTTAAGACAATATATCCCTTTTGAGATTTTCCGTTGATATTAGTATATGGTATGGTGCCAGCAAACATCAATAATTTTCATATTACCTTCATTCAGGCTCTTATTACAGCTTTTCTGAGCTTTAGTACTGTTGATGGGAAAAAAATTAAAATATTTGAGGAAGTTTATTCTGAGCCAAATAGCAATGGCTATGGCTTGGGACACAGCCTCAAGAGGTCCTTGAACATTTGCCCAGGGTGGTTGAGTTATAGCTTGGTTTTATGTAGGGTGATAGAAGTTACAGGCAAAGATATAAATCGATACATTGGTTCAGCCCAGAAAGGTAGGGCATCTTGAAGTGGGGGGCTCACAGATTATGGGTAGAGTCAAAACTCTCAATTGGCTATTGATTTAAAGAGTTAAGCTTTGCCTAAAGAGTTGAAATCAACAAAAAGAAATGCTTGAGCTAAGATAAGGAGGATTATGGAAACCAAGGTTCTTGTTATGTAGATGAAGCCTCCAGATAGCAAGTTTCAGAGAGAATAGATGGTAAAAGTCTCCTTTTGCGTCTTAGATGATGTCAGACTCACTGCAACATCCTAGTAAGGGAAGGAGGTTCTCTATAGGAAAAAAGTTTCTCCCACAAGAGATGGCTTTGCAGATCCATTCCAGAATATGTCAAAGAAAGACGTTTCGGATAAAACACATTCATCTTCTTCAGGATGTGTTATCTGTCATGTGATGGTATACCAGAGTCCGGGTGGAATTTGACATCCTATTGCTACAAAGAGTCTGTTTTGTGATCTCTATTTGAATGTAAATGCTGGTTAGCGGGTGTCTGAACTCCAAGGTGTGTCTAACACCTCCCTTCCCATCATGGCCTAAACTAGGTTTTCAGGTTTCTTTGGGATCCTCTTGGCCAAGAGGGAGTGTGTCCACTCAGTCAGCTGGAGGCCTTAGAATTTTGTTATTGGTTTATAGTATTCATCCTTTAACGGTTCTTCAGTCTCTAGTTTCTTCCCACTCCAACTGAGCCAACTGTAGCGTCCAGATTCATATTTTTAAAAGCCAACCATGACCAGGGCACTTTCTTGCTTGATAAGTTGCAATGGCTCCCCTCTGTGCTTCCTGGATAAATAATATTTTTCTAGACAGAAGTTCAAAGCTGTCACAATCTGTTCCCTTCCCACTGTTCAAACTTTACTTCCCATTACTCCTTTCACATTCTCTGTGCTCTGAATAATTTTTCATCATGTTTCCAGGAGGAGAGGGCAGGTCTGTTTTGTTCCCTGCGTCCTTTCTTTACCACTGGCTGGCATATCGTAGGTATTCAGAAGAAATACCAGCGGGATGCATGAAGGAGCCAACCCTTCCTTCTTCAGGTTGTGGGTCTTTGCTCACACCGAGAGTTTCTTTCGCCTTTTCTGCCTGTGGAGATCAAAGCTGCTTGGAAATGCTCACTCGTTTTCTAGGGACAAGGGCCCTCCTTTTCTACGTTGCAGGTATACTTAATTTCTAGCTTATTTGAGGACTA